ACTAAGTATTTGAATCCTGTGTGTACCATTCCTGTGGTCATAAAAAGAACTTGTGATGTTTAACTTAATCTCCAAAAGCTTTCCAGTGTGAATTCTCTCAGTTAATTTCCAGTTTAAGTTTCCACTTTTACAAATACAGATCCTTCCATTGTATGAATACTCAATTCCTCAATGAGGTTTTTGTACACCTTGTAGCTTAATATAACTCTCAAAGCTCCCTTTATTTTTCTTTATTCTGGTCACAAAGCCTGGAGTCAATTTTAATAAAGAAAATATCTGCGACTATATAGGGGGCTACAGAATTCAAAAAAATTAATTTCTTTACCTTATCAAACTTACCCAATCTGCATGAACGCCTTTTAATTCCTTCATGGGATGAATGTTGTTGCCAAGATTAGTATTTATTGGCCATTCCTAATTGCCCTGGAGAAGGTGGTAGTGAGCTGCCTTGAGCTACTGCAGTTCTAGTTCTAGTTCTAGCTCTAGCAGTTTTAGGTAGTGTTATGAAGAGAGTGCCTTAACATTGACTTGGTAGTTGTGGAAAAATGACACATTTCCAAGTCAGGAAATATATACATGCCTTGAAGGAGACCTTGTAGATGTTGTTGTGCTCAAGTATCTGCTGTCCTTGTCCTTCTAGGTGAAAGTTTTTGTGGGTTTGTAAGGTGCTGTCTAAGAAACCTTGGTAAATTTCTGAAGTGCATCAGATGATACACATTGCTACTACTATGTGAAGGGAGTGAATGTTTGTAGATGTGGTGCCAATCAAAGAGGCTGTGATGGATCGTCCACTTTATATCATAGTGCGGATAGTTGGAAAACCTTTTCTTTTGCAATGCTGGGTTCAGTCATCATTAAGGATACTGATGTTTGCAGAGTCTCTTCCTCCTGCTAGTTGTTTACTTATTCACCACCATTTATGACTTGGTGAAGTTAGATGACAGAACTTAGATTTTATCCGTTGGTTGTGGGATTGCTTAGCCTGCTGAAAAAGCCATGTTGATTCTGCTTGATTTCCTTGAAGTACTCTAAATGCCCTGACATAGCATTGTTTATATTAGCTTCTAACATCGTCCCTATGACGGATATTAAGCTAACCGGCCTGTAGTTTCCTCACTTCTGTCTACCCCACTTTTTGAATAAATTAGTTACTTAGCAACTACTAAGAGAATCTGACTATCTCCCCACAATATTCAATGGCATTATCATGGCTGCAGGATGACATAGATTGGCACCTGAATATTGAAGGGTATATGGCAAGTAGGAGGAGCAGGAGGCTTGGAAGAATTGGGGGAGTGACTCTCTTATTTCATGATGCTATCAACATGATAGAGAAGGGAGACCTAAGTGTAGGAACACGGGATGTAAAAGTGGTTTAGATAGAAATTAGAAATGATAGAAGAATTGAACTCATATTTTTCATTAGTCTTCACCATGGAGGATACACATTCAATCCTGGAAATAGCTGTGAATCAAGAAATGGAAGAGAGGGAAGAACTGAAGAAAATAATAATCAAAAGGGAAGTAGGGTTGAGTAAATTGTTGGAATTGTGAGCTGACAAGTTCCTGATGGAACTAGAGTCCAACAATTTTAGTATCTGTCATAAGGAAAATATTAGAAACAGTCAGACGTTTGGACTAGTTTAAGGTTATTAGGCAGAGTCAATATAGTCTTGTGAAAAGGAAATCATCTTTGACAAATTTATTGCTGATCTTTGAGGAAGTAGCACATTGTGGATAAAGTGGAGCTGGTGAATGTACTGTGCTTAGACTTCCAGAAGACCTTTGATAAGGTGCCACATCAAAGGTTATTGTAGAAAATAAAAGCTCTGTGTAGGGGGTAGCATATTAGTATGGGTAGAAGTTTGAATAGTTAGCTGGTACAAAAAGTAGACATAATAGATTCATTTCTGGGTAGCAAGTTGTAACAATGGGTTTTGGGATCAGTGCAGGACCTCAGCTTTTCACAATTTACATAAATGGTTTAGATGACACAATGGGAGGTATAGTTGCTAAATTTGCTGATGGCACAAAGATTGGTAGAAAAGTAAGTTTGATGGGAAAATAAGGAGAATGGCAAATGCAGTATGATGTGAGAAAATGTAAAATTGTTATTTTTGGTAGCTCTTCTTGTAATGCAGTGGTAGAGTCTCTCCTCCTGGACTGGGAGGCCCGAGTTCAAGTCCCACCTGCTCCAGAAGTGTGTAACAAGATTTCTGAACAGGTTGATTAGAAAAATAGATGAATTTTAAAAAGAAAGATTATCTAAATGATTAGAGATTACAGCGGTTTGCGATGCAGAGGGATTGGATATCCTAGTGCATGAATCACTCAAAGGTTAGTATATAGGTACAGCAAGTAACAAGGAAAGCTGATATAATGAAATCGTTTATTGCAAGGGGTAATCGAATACAAAGTAGGGAGATTATACTTCAGGTGTACAACACATTGGTGACACAAAACTGATTAGAAATGCAGCAACAAACAGAGAACCATATGGCAAAGCTGTCACCTGCTAGTACATCTGGAATCACCTGTATGGAGAGTAGATTTCATTTACCAAAGGGCAGGAGTGTGCCATATAGGTTGTCAGAATAATCAATGATAGTTTTATCATTACCATTACCGAGACTAGCTTCCAATTTCTGATTTATTTGCTGAATTAATGTGTGTTTTATGATTGTTACTTGGCCTTCAACTAATGCCTTGCTCTTTGGCAGAATGGCACTCACCCTGGTCTTAACTGAGTTCATTCTGGTTCAGGTAAAACTCACCCTGGTGCCGCCTTCAGGGAACTTGGAACCTCTCAGCAGTCACCACTCTTCAGTGACATTTGACCATTCCTTGCACTGCTTCTTAGCGTCCACCTAACCCTTCTGATAAAAGGTCCAAGCAGTGATAGGCAACACAAATAGACTCAGCTACTACCTTAAGGCCTGCTCACCTGCTCATAATCAGCTTTAAACAGTCATGAGAGTGAAGGCCTGTGATAGCTGTGTGCCTCTGACTTAAATAGTATTTAGTTACTAAAATTTAAGATTTAATGCACATTATTAAGGCAAGTTAGGTTGAGCAAAGGATGCTCTCGCATCCCTTGAAAGAATAAAAAAATTCAGTTATTTTGTCTTTAGCTAGTTAATTTGTTCAATTCAATACAATTTTCTCAAAATACGCATGCAGAGACTTATGGAACTTGTGTGGATATCGTGTTTTTTAGAATTATATTGATATTCTCCAATTGTTGATTGTTTTCTCCATTGCCATTCCATTTATTTTATATAAATTCTCATCATTCATGCTTTAATTATGATTTTCAAGATTTTTTTGTTTATGAATCCAATGTGAGTGAAATCCATTTATAAATCCTCAATCAATTCTTCAGTTGATTTCATACCACATGCTTACCCACAACTGTGGCAACAATAAAAAAGCCCCAAAGATCTATAACTAAATTTTAGATTTAGTTTTGAAGTCAGCCATCTGAAGCTTTAGCTCTGTTGCTCTCCATAGATGCTGCCAGACATTTTGAGTATTTTCAGCATATTCTGCTTTTATGATTAATTTAGTAGTTGATGATCTAAACATCATTTACACCCTTCATGTAGAATTAATTATTTTCAAGGTTTATTTATGTGTTGTGTTTGCTGCTTTTGTCATGTCTCAAAATCATGAAAAAAGAGTTCTATCCCAAGGAAGAATAAACATGCTAAGTGAAGGATGAGGCATCCATGACAAGGAATTTAGAGAGAGTATGCTTTTGGGGATGAACCTCGCAGTGGGATTCAAACCGATGCTTGGAGGCGCACAGACAATGGACAGTTTGGAGCTTGGAGCGGAGTTGGGATGGTTGTTGGACTACGTGTGAAAGCCCCTGCGCTGAGCTACTGCAGTGTAATGTTTATTCATTGTTCATGTGACTGTATTGTCAATCCTTTAACTATGTCTTATTTCGACTTACTCATTAAACACTAAAGTAATGCAACTACTTCTCTTTTTGCATTCCTTCTTTGTATCTAAGATTTATGCTTAGATATTTGTACCTAAGATGGTGCCATAAGAGGTGATATTGCCTAAGGAGTCAGACCATAGCAAAGAAATAGCTTATTTATATTTTTTAGAAATAATTGAGATTCTAACCTAAATCCACAGAACAGCTTAATATTGAGTGCATCAGACCAGCATGTCATTCCTCCTTAGATGCTACTTTCAGCTAAATGCTTCTCAACATTTGCTAGGGACAACCATTCCTTTCTTTTGGCATAGCAGTCTCTCATGAAAAAGGAGTAGTTAACTACATTCTCGTGAAAGGTGGTGGCACAAAGCTTGGTAGGTATAACATTTTTTCTCATTTTATATTTATATCCAACTTAATTGTGATGTTATCATTTGTGTTAATTGGAGATTTCAGTTGCATTAGTCTGAGGACTGTACTTCCTAATTAACTAATTTGTAAACCTTTCACTTGTTTTGTGCATCGATTATTCATGAAATCAGATTAAGTTACAAAGTGAAGCAAATATGTATATATTCAACAGGAATATATTGCTGAGCAGAAGAAAGTGCTGTATACAGGATAACAGGTTGCATTGGATTTAATTTAAGGTTTTGAATTTGAAACTTTGTTCAGGGAGTTGGTTTCAGAAACTTTTGAGTTGCATTCAGTTTTGTTTTAGTAATTTATATAATCAGTAGTTTACTACATGACTAAACATCATTTGACAAGGGAAAGAGCTGCCCAACAAATGGCTGTTTAAAATCTCAGTCTCACATTTCAGGAGATAAATATGGAATGAGGAATGCAGAGCCCACAACTCTTAGTCCATGTGATTTGTTGGCTAAAAGAAAAGCAATACGATCCTCTGTGAAATGATTCTAAATTTAGCCGGCTGCCTAACAGTTGATGTTTCGGCGGAGAGCACAGGTTGGGAAAAACAGACATTTGAAGAGAGGAAAAAAAAAATTTCTACCTAACGGATTGAGTGAACCTCTTGATTTTGGGGATGAACCTTGCAGTGGGATTCAAACCAATGCTTGGAGGCGCGCAGACAATGGACAGTTTGGAGAAACAACTAATTTGTCCTATTTGTCTGGAAATGTTCACAAAGCCAGTTGTGATTTTACCATGTCAACATAACTTGTGTAGAAAATGTGCCAATGATGTTTTCCAGGTAGGTGTTTCAGAACTTACCAGTATTTTACCATGGTATAGTTATTAACCTTAATGCACTATTAATAGTATTAATATTTTAAGTCCATGAAACCTATTCTTTAGAAGCATACTCTTGATAAAATAGTTTTAATGTTTTAGGTCTGTTTTTTATGCATCAGATTGCTTGGATTGCAGATTTACATGTTAAGGGATGTAGGGGAGGAGAAATGAGAAAGAAAAGTACGTCAGATCACAGATACAGTGAGGGGCAGAAATTATGGTCAAGTCCAGCTCATCCCTTTTTTAATGATAAAAACATCTTTCTCTTTGCCTGAGCTGTGGGTGATGGCACTGGCATTCAGCTGCATGGTTCCGTTGAAGCAAAAAAATAACAAAGAAGAATATCTACAAAAAGAGGAAGATTGACAAGAGGCAAAGGAATGTGAGTAACACGTGGTGTAGCTGAATACTCTTTTAGGGCTGTTTGACACTTCCATTTGGTATGTAATTCACAGGCTTCCAATCCATTCTGGCAGTCGAGAGGCTCCACAACAGTGCCTTCAGGGGGTCGCTTTCGCTGTCCTTCCTGCCGACATGAGGTAGTACTGGATCGCCATGGAGTTTATGGCCTGCAGAGAAATCTCCTGGTGGAAAATATCATTGACATCTACAAGCAAGAATCATCCAGGTTACGCAATGTGCTTTATTTATAGAGAAAGCTGAACTGAGAATGAATGTGTTTTAATGAATGGTCTATAAACATAGAAGAAAATTTTCATTATTTTATTCAAATGCAATTTGTGGTCTTTACCACTTTCTCATAATCATTTACTCCTGTATTGCTCTTTTGGTTGAGGTGAAATAAAAGTAAATTTTCTATCAGCCACTCACTTAGTAAGTGTGAACAAACAATATCAAATCCTTTGGGAATGCAGTAGAATGTTCCACAATGGGGATTCAAATAGTACTATGTAGGAAATGCTCACAATTTGCAAATTAAGAAACTAACAAGGTTAAAGGAAAAGGAATAATGAGGTAAGTCAGGTAATACAGGGAACAGGGGTCTGAAAAGCCTGAAACTGCAGGATGAAAAGATGCAAATCCTTGTATTCCACTTGTTTGGAATGCGCTAACCTGGGTTTTTGGGTACAAAGTTCAAATGGGCCAGTTTATGATCTTTGTCTTTTTTAAAGGCTTTTTAAGAGGTTTGCAACAAAGGAGGAAACTGTATGGATAATGTCCATGCTGTCTTTTTATTAGGACAATTCAAAACTACTCCTATTGCCTTGACAGGTCTATATGTTCCAAAATTAATTTTCAGTTTTCCTTTAATTGATGTTGTGGTTTCTGCTTTCATTAACAAAGAATTCTAGTTCCAATGTCTTATTTTCTTTGAAGCACTAAATCAAAGCCTACTTAAGATTGGAGACCTGTGATTGATGGATAAAAAGAGGAAACTCTAACACCACTCATCTATTTTTAGATAGAAATGCTATTTGTGAAATCCTCAAATGAGGCTGTTTGATACCAACACATCTGCAAGAGTTTCCGTTTGTATGACAGGCCATCATCAGCATAATTCAAATGAAATCACTTTTATGACTTCCAATTGCAAAGTCAGACTCAGTCAAACAAATCACCAACGTAAGCTATTTTAAATATAAAATCAAATTCTCAATGATAAAGTTATTTTACATTTCTCTTCAGAATCTTCTGGTCTCATTCAATTAGTCTTTCTCAGTTGGGTTATTATCTTTTCCAAATAACAATAATGGGTAAATAGTCTAATTGTTGACTGTTAAGAGAATTTAAACTTTGCCCTTCACACAAGGACATGCAAAATGCTTCGCAGTTAATGTTGTGCAGTCACTGTTGTAATTGGAGAAAACATGTCAACCAATTTATACACATTAAGGTTCCGTGAACAACACTGACAATAATAGCAAGATAATTTATTTTAGCAAGAGAGTTTAAAGCTATGATTCATTATCATTTACCATACTTGACTCAATGATAACTCTCCGAGATAGTTATTAGTCACACATTTTATCTTGATATGATCCCTCAACTATATTCATCTAAATTTTTGATTAATGTGCGACTGTTTTATTGACTAAAGTTTATGAATTATTCAACATTTACTAACTTTTAGTTGTAGTAACAATACACTTGTATAGTATTTACATTGTGCAAGTGGCTAGAAGTTCAGGATTATTTTATAAGCTCATCATTTTGTTCACTGAAACATTAACATTGGTGCTATCAATGCTTTTGATCTATATTATATAGATCAGAGTTGTTGGTTGGTTTGCCCAGCTGACTGGTTTTCGTACAAACATTTCATCCCCATTCTAGGTGACATCTTCAGTGCTGTCTAGCCTCTGTTGAAGCGCTAACGTTCCGTTCCATTTGGAATTTATATGGTCTGGTCTGTTATGGCGGGTGGTTCTGTTTCCAGTTTTGCTCCTTTGGTATTAAGATGGGCTCTATTTCAACATGTTTATGTTGTTTATGGCACCATCATTTTTGCGTAGGTATGTTCACCCATCTCGGGTCTTATAATGGAAGCAGTTATGCAAAGACTTGAACACGCAGATCCTCCCCCAGATCCAGCCTAAATTATTGGTTAGGTGCATCAACGATACTTTCTTTATCATTAAACGAGCAAAGTTAGAAGAAACACATCAGCTTATTAACAATATATTCACCAGGATCAAGGGGATCACCAGGGAAGAGCAGAACAACAAACAACTCCTGTTTCTAGACATTATGGTGGAAGTAACGAACAATGGTGAGTTCCTTACCAGTGTATACAGAAAGATTATACACACAGACCAAATCCTGAATTACAACAGTAACTACCCCAGCGTCCACAAACAAAGCAGTGTCAAAACTCTGTTTAAACAAATAATAACACACTGCAACACTTCAGAGCTCTGCAAAAATGAAGAGGAACACCTATACAAAGTCTTTGCAAACAATGGGTATCCTAACAGCTTTATCCTCTGATGTCTGGCGAACAAACAACACCAAGAAGTCACTATGCCCCAACACACTGGCCATCCTACCCATGTTAGAAACATATAGGAACTGACTACAAGACTCCTATGACCTCTTTCATCATAGATCGTAGAATCCCTACAGTGTTGAAACAGGCCCTTCGGCCCAACAAGTCCACACCGACCCTCAGAGCATCCCCCTATAACCCACCGAATCTACACATCCCTGAACACTACAAGCAATTTAGCGTAGCCAATCCACCTAGCCTGCACATCTTTGGACTGTGGGAGGAAACCGGAGCACCTGGAGGAAACCCACACAGACACGGGGAGAATGTACAAACTCCACACAGACAGTCGCCCGAGGGTGGAATCGAACCCAGGTCCTTGGTGCTGTGAGGCAGCAGTGCTAACCACTGTGCCGCCCCAAAATTTGAATAATGATAGCATACAAACCAACAATCATACTTCGCCAGCTACTCTCAAAGACAAAAGGCCCCATACCCACAATGAGCAGGACAAATGTAATATACAAAATGCCATGCAGCAACTGCGAGAAGCAATACATAGGACAGATGGGCAGGAAACTCGCCACCAGCATCCATGAACACCAACTTGCAGCAAAATGGCATGACGAACTCTCCCTCATTTCTATTCACTCCAACAAAGAAGGACATCAGTTTAACTGGGACAACATAACAGTGCTAGGACAAACAAAACAAAGACAAGCATGAGAATTCTTGGAAGCCAATGGTTGAAAACCTGGTGCCATAAACAAACATATTGAAATAGACCCCATCTACATACCACTATGGAGCAAAACCGGAAACAGAACTACCCACCATGACAGACCAGACCATATAAATTCAGAACAGAACAGAACAATAGCGCTTCAACGGAGGCTAGACAGCACTGAAGATGGCACCTAGAAGGGGGACAAAATATTTGCACGAACAACCAACATCTCCAGCCACAACCCAAACTACAAATCTTTCCTAAAACATTGTATAGATCAGAGTCAGAAAACTATACGTGAAAATGCAATGGACAAAATAAGTAATTTTCTTTGTAATGCACCCATTCTTTCTTTACGAATGCTAGTGCGTATGATGAACATTTTCACTCGGTGGTATTAAATAATCTGAAATGGGTGTGCATCAGCTCAGTGCTAAATACACTGCAGTCAGCATTAATTTCAAATGTATTGGAATACATCCCACTGCAGAGTCTTTTTTTCTTTACTATCTTCCTTCCTCCGAAAGCTGATACAATCTGAATTAAGGGTGAATATTGATTTGCATTTCATTAGGAACTGTGTTGAGACTGTCTGTCTGGTTTGATTTCAGGTAGAACCCAAATAACAGATTATGTTATGTTATCGCATTGGATTCAAATTTAAGGATTAGCGCTTTGTGCCAATAAGTGATTTATTTTTTTTAAATGCAGTTCCAGTGGGCAGTGACTTCCAAGTTGTGACATAGTTGACCCAGATGCCACATTCATCACTTGTGATGAGACCAGTCAGGTACAATGGTTATAACTTTAGGTATGTAGACTCATAAAGCTGTACAGTATAGAAACAGACCCTTCAGTCCAGCTTATCCATGCTGGCCAGATATCCTAAATTAATCTAGTCCCATTTGCCAGCTTTTGGCCCATATCCCTCTAAACCCTTCCTATTGATATACCTAACCAGGTGCCTTTTGAATGTTGTAATTGTACCAGCCTCCTTTACTTCCTCTGACAGCTCATTCTATACACACACCACCCTCTGCATGAAAAAAATTGCCCCATAGGTCCTTTTTGAATCTTTCCCCTCTCACCGTAAGCCTATGCCCTGCAGTTTTGGACTCCCCTACCCAAGAGAAAAGACTTTGACTATTCACTCTATCCATGCCCCTCATGATTTATAAACTTCTATAAGGTCATCCTTCAGCCGCCGACACTCCAGGAAAAATAGCCCCAGCTTTTTCAGCGTGTACCTGTAGCTCAAACCCTCCAAACCTTGCAACATCCTTGTAGATCTTTTCTGAACCCTTTCAAGTTTCACAACATCTTTCCTATAGCAGGGAGACCAGAATTAAATGCAGTATTCCAAAAGTGGCCGAACCCAATGTGCTGTATAGCTGCAACATGACCTCCCAACTCCTACACTATATGATTTATAGTGTCTTCGTTTTTAAAAATGCATTAACTAAAAATCAGTTGACTGCTGGACAAAATGTACAACCCTGACACTTCGCTTTACAATTCTGTCCAAAAAGTGTTTCTGCCATTATTCTACTCAGAAATTAAACTAATTTATTTTCATAGAATCCCAACAGTGTGAAAAGAGGCCAGTCAGCCCATCGAGTCTGCACTGACCCTCTGAATAACATCCCACCCAAACCCACCTCACCCCTGTAACCGCGCATGTGTGTTTTTTTAAACTTTGGTTAACCCATCTAACCTGCATATCTTTGGACTGTAGGAGGAAACCGGAGTAGCTGAAAGAAACCCACTCAGGCATAGGGAGAATGTACAAACTCCACGCAGATAGTCACGCAAGGCTGGAATCAAACCTGAGATCCTGTTGCCATGAAGCAGCAGTGCCAACCACCATGTTGCCCTTAATTTACTAAACTTACTTTGTCTTTTTCCACAAAATTGATTTGAGACATTTTCGTGTATATTGGAAGTTCTCTGTCTGTATGAAATGGCAAATGGTTATGATTCTGATAAGATTGGAGGAAGTGATACTGGAGATCATTGTGAGTATTATTTCAGGAGGTGGTTGTTGGAGGATGGAGATGGAGGAGTGGGTGGAGTGTGTTGAGTTTATGGAGATTGGAATAGGGGAGGGTCTGGGTGTTCGTTGTTGAAGGAAGAAGTGGAGATGGGGAATATGATGTAGTTGTGTTGGGGGGTGAGATTTCGGGGTTCAGGCTGGGCTGAAGGTCCAGGGTGAATTGAAGGTAGTTGGAGGCAGATATGTGTTGAAGGAGGTGAGGAAGGGGGTATATTTGGGCCTGGTGGAGGTTGGGTCTGGGATGTGTGCTGGGGTTGGAGGATGTGTTGACTTGGCAATGTGTCACGCCTGCATTGAGGTTGTGAGTTGGTGTTGGTGGAGGAGGTGCATTCATTTCTGGAGAAATAGTTTACTTTCCAAAATTATGGTCATAGTGTTATTTTATAATAATTAATTTCTTTCAGGCCACTGCATACCAAATCTGACCAGCAGTTAATGTGTGAAGAGCATGAAGAGGAAAAGATTAATATTTACTGCCTGACTTGTGAGGCTCCAACTTGCTCAATGTGCAAAGTCTTTGGTGCTCACAAAGATTGTGAAGTGGCACCTCTCCAAAATGTCTACAAACGTCAAAAGGTATCTTAATAATATTTTGCTTTCATTTTAAAAATACGTATATCCCAAGGAAAAGCACACATACTAAGGGGAGGACGAGGCAGCCATCGCTGACAAGGGAAGTTGGGGACAGCACAAAAGCAAAAGCAAAGGCATGCAATATGGTGAAGATTAGTCAGCAGCCAGAAGATTGGGAAGCCTTTAAATACCAGCAAAGGATAACTAAAAGAGCAATAAGAGGTGAGAACTTGAAATATGAGAGTAAGCTTGTTAGTGGTGTAAAAGAAGATTGCAAAAGTTTTTTTAGTTATCCAAAAGGTAAGATAGAGGCATTGAACTACTAGAAATGAGGCTGGAGAAGGAGTAATGGAGATCAAAGAAATGGAGGAGGAACTGAATATGTACTTTGCATCAGCTTTCACAGCAGAAGACACCAGCAGCATACCAGAACGTTGAGAGGTGGCCATCACTAAGCAGAAGGTGCTGGGGAAACTGAAATATCTGAAGGTGGATAAATCACCTGGACCAGACCCTGAATTATATACGAGATGGCTGGGGAGATTGTAGAGGCATTGGTGATGATCTTTCAGGAGTCACTGGAATCAGGGAAAGTCCCATAAGTTGAAAAATGACTAATGTTACACCCCTGTTTAAGAAGGGAGGAAGTAGAAGACAGGAAACTATAGGTTGGTTAGCATGACTCAGTTGTTGGTAAGATTTTAGAGTCCACTATTAAGGATGAGATGGCAGTATTCTTGGAATTACATGGTAAAATAAAGCTGAGTCAGCATGGCTTTGTCAAGGAGAGGTCATGCCTGAAAAATGTGTTAGAATTCTTTGTCTAACTTACTTGTTACCTCCTCAAAGACAAACCAGTAGATGTGATCCGTTTAACTTTCCAAAAGGCCTTTGACAAGGTGCTGCCTAGGAGTCTGTTCAGTATGTCATGACCCATGGTGTCTAGGGTCAAGGTGCTGGCATGGATAAAGAATTGACTCATTGGCAGAAGGGAGAGAGTGAGAATAATGGGGTCTTTTTCAGGATGGCAGCGGTGACTAGTGGAGTTCTACAGGGGTCAGTGTTGCGATCACAATTATTCACATTTTACTTGAATGATTTGGACGAAGAAACTGAGGACAGTGTTGCTACATTTGCAAATGACACAAATATAGGTCGAGGGACAGATGGTGTTAAGGAAATCGAGAGGCTGCAGAAGGACTTTTCAGGTTAGGGGAGTGGGCAAAGAAGTGACAGATGAAATACAATCTTGGAAAGTGTAAGGCAATGCACTTGGTAGGAAGAAAGGAGGCATAGACTGTTTTATAAATGGGGAATGGCTTTGGAAATCTGAAGCAGAAAAGGACTGTAAGATTATCTGTTACATTACCTGTAAGATTATTCAATTCAAAAAGAAGTGGATTTTTTGTTACTTTTGCTGACTAGAATAGCCTATACTGATGTCTCTTGCTATTATTTTGCAGACTGAGCTCAGTGACGGTATTGCAATGCTGGTGGCAGGAAATGACAGAATCCAGGCAATCATTACTCAGCTGGAAGAGATATGTAAAACGATTGAGGTAAGTTGACAGACGGCAATACATCACAACTAAAGATGTGAAATGATGACCCTTTGAGTTATCATCCAATTAATGCTCAAGAAGTGCCAACTTCCAATTTTGCAATAGCTGTCCACCCTGGTTCTTCCATCACCCCTGCATTTCCTAGTGTATAATGGCTTCTTTTCCAGAAATTTCAAAATTCTCACAACCTCAATATGGCCTTGCTCCTTCCTGTCCCTATAGCATGCTATAGTCCCACAGCCTTTCAAGATTTTGGTTTTCTAACTTTTACACATGCCAAATTATGTTCACTTGACCAGTGGTTGCCATATTTTTACCTGCCTGGGCCCAAACCTCTGGAATTCCCTCTCATTGCTTCTGGAGCTCATGCTTCCTTAAAATTCTCTGTAAGGCCTATCTTTCCAGCCAAATTTTGGTCATCTATACTTGTATCTCCTTATTTAGCTTAGTGTAAAATTTTGGTACAGAGATGCTTAATAATTTTTAAAAAATCATTCATGTGATATGGATGTCGCTTGCCAGGTCAGCATTTATTGCCTGATGTTAAAGCCACTAAACAAATGCAAGTTGCAGTATATTGTCATTGAATGATACTGTTTGAATTTGTCTCTACAATCGTTTGGAAACTGAGAGTATTTAGATCAATTTATGAAAAGACAAATGAAAAGAAAATGGTGGCACAGTGGCATTGTGTTTAGCACTGCTGCCTTACGGCATCATGGATCTGGATTCAATCTCAGTTTTGGGTGACTGTGTGGAGTTTGCATGTTCTCCCCACGTCTGTGTGTATCCCCCACAATCCAAAGATGTGCTGGTTAGGTGGATTGGCCCTGCTAAATTGCCTGTAGTGTCCAGGGATGTGTAAGATTGGTAGATTAGCTGTGGTAAATGCAGGGTTACAAGGATAGGATTGGGGGCTGGGTCAGGTGGGATGCTCTTCGGAGGGTCAGTGCAGACATGATGGGCCAAATGGCCTCTTTCCATACTGTAGGGATTCTATAATTCTAAGAAGTCAAGGACTTGGGGCAATGTACCTTTTTAAATTTGCCAAATCTGTTTAGTGTGTTGTTTCATATGCTAGTGAAAGTTTTATCAGTGCCATGTAGGAGATATTCAGCATCAGTGCAGAATAAAGCTTTCCAGCATTATAGGATTGCAGATGAAGTTTACTTCATTGAACATGGAATGAGTTATTCTGTTTCATTACATATTTTTTTAGCAAAGCATGTCAAACACAAACCATTACAGACAAATCTAATTTTCTTCTCATGCTAAAAAGCTGGAAGGTTCAAGGTACTGATATCTCAAAATCCTAACACAGGATTCCTAAATGTAGATTTTGACCCAAGGCTTTTCTGTGCCGTATCCATAAGTGAAAACAAGCTTTACTTTTTCTTTCTATTTCAGGATGTACTTTAAACAGATACAAATATTGCCTTTACTTAAAATATTATTTTGCAAGTAATAGTTTGACACCTTAGGTATGAAAAATGAAAGCTTATTTTTGTTTATTTGTTGAAATAATCTAATTTCAAGGTCTACCAATCTTAGCTACTCTTTGAAGTGACAGGCTGAATGTTAGAAATACTTATGTAAGATATGTTCAAATTGTGTGTTCACTGTGATGATTGATATAGTAATTTTATTCAGAATGCAATATGGTTTAATGAATTACTAATTGAAAAAGATTCCAGTCTAGTAACTAAAGAGAATTATGCATGAATGTTTGATGATGAATTCATTGAAACAGCAGATAATAGTAGAAAATTTCTTGTATATTCTGAATAGGGTTGTGTTACTCATTGATTTATTATTTAACAAAAACTAATTTATAACTTGCGGCAAATTGGCAGATTTGGTGTGTCAATTTCACTTCTATTAATTTCAATATGTGTTTTGTAATTTTGTTTCTTTAACTAGAATCTTGCAATATAACATTACATAAGATAGTGGTTCTGTAAGGTTTAAAGTTCATATTACATCGACCAAGCCATTCCACCGATACGTAAAGAGTGTTCATTGAAACAGGGAATTCTACCCTTAATTTCAGAGGGATCAAATGTATCTATACCAGCTCCCCAAGGTCCTAGTAATTGTGCCTGCTACAATGTAATTGTACTTATTGCTTTCATTCAACAAACCTTCTCGTTATCTACGATCTGTGCCACTTCTGTAGGCGCTCAACAATAGTGTTTATTATCTGCTAATCACTTGATAGGTACAAGACAGAGCAAAGACAAAGGAGGATTGGTGGTAGTGTACTGCTTCAATAACCCTTACCCAGCATCACATACTAACAGTATGTGGCTAACAGTAGAAGATGCCAGAGTGGTCATCTGGGAAAATACCACAGGGTGGTAGCAATGTAGATCTGACCATTACCACAGGGGGAAGAAATTCGGAAGATCCAGGGAAATAAAAATGTTCAGCTAACTGAGTTTACCACTTATGGAAGAAGAAATGACCACGTGTCAGCAGCTGAAATGTGATTAGCAACAGAGAGAGAGCAGCAGCCATGGCAGCAACAAAAAGTCAAGCTTGGTGACCTTTTGTTCAGCTTCATTGAGAAGCTGGTAGAAAACACTGGGGCAAGAGTATGGGTTTGGAAAAGAAAGAAAAAAGTCACATTGAGCCAGTGAAGGCTTTAGGAGATTAAGTTCGAAATTTTTATGGGAAAAGGGAATGACTTTTTGAAAAATGACACAATGACTAGAAAGGGAAGGCAAGGAAGTGTGAAATTAAGTTCTCAACATGCAACGCCACCATTTGAGATTTTGTTTCTGGCAGCAAAAGAAGAAGGGTCTAGTGGCAGGGCAGGATTCATTTGGCTCCATGTTGGGCTTGGTGGTGAGGGAGAGGGCTCAAGTCCCAGGCCAGGGTCTGGTGGTAGGGAAAGAGGGCTTGGATCCAGTAGTGGTGGACGGCAGGGTTTGTTGGGTCCCACGGGTGCTATGGGCAGGGAGGTGGTGGGTCCTCGGCACAGAAAGAAATATTAGGATCCAGGGCAGTGTATTGAGTGGGTTGAACCGGTTGGGAGGGTGTGGTCAGTTGAATAGTTACTCAGGAGTTAGACTTGGTATTTAATTTTTCCAGAATAACCACTTAACAGCAGTGGTAACCTCCAAATTTTCCACATTAAATGTTCTAGGCACAGGGGAATTGCCCAATAGAATTTTCAGTTTCCTGGACAATTCCTTCAGGGTCTACTAAGATGGGAATTCCACAGGGTCACCATATGCAGCTCCCACCTATACATCAGAAACGAATATCTGGCCATCAGAAAATCGGGACCAATGTTCTTTGCTCTTTTAAGTTAAGCTACATCGTTTCCTGACAATAGTTTCCTGCTTATTTAATTTATTCAAGATTGTACTCCATGTGAAAGCAATGGATTTAACAGGATATGCTGAGTGTAGATGTGCACTCCTAGTTTGTAAATAGAACTTGTTAATCTGTTGTTTATATGAAATGCTGATCCACTCAGTGTAAGACTGGAGTCATTCCATTACTATTTATATCATGTGTTTGCGGTATTAGAGTAATATATCTCTTTGGATGTAATCATTGAGGTCTTGGTTCAGTTTATACATTACCAACATATTCTGAAGTTTCCCTAAAATAAGCAATTCTCATTGTAACAATTCAATCTAATGCCTTTGATTTACCTGAGTACTAAGGATGATTAAAGAAATGCTTCTTGTTACTATGTAAATCAACCAGATTTCATTTTTGTTAATTATAATATTGAAAGTCTAAACTTCTACATTTTGCCCCAAATCATGCTCTGAATTGTATGTAAGGAGAGATATTTAGAGCAGCATGTTCTCCCAGATCTGCAATGTAGTGTGCTACAAGTTTACAGCTTATGAACATCCCCTTGCAGTTCCTCAAGTAACCAATTTGCAAACTTTTTGATGTTTATCAGGAGGAAACACCTATTGGTAGTTATACACCTGTCTGCTGAAGTAAAGGAAGTTGGTGGCAAGTTGGTTTAAAACCTTTTTGTACCTTATCCAGTAGCAAACACAACCAAACCAATAGCATGAGAACAAATCTCAAACATATACCAACAGACAATATAACTTGCCGTGTAATCACAGAATTGTTACAGTTCTGGAAGAGGCCATTTGCTCCATTATGTTTGCACCAGCTCTGCAAAAAATCATTTAACTTAGTGCCATTCTCTCACCTTTTGTCAAACAGGTAATAACCACTGTCAACAGTCATGAAAACCCATTGGGTTCACTAATGACCTTTAGGGAAGGAAAACTGCATCTTTATCTGGTCTGGCCTACATGTGACTCCACAGCCACTGCAATGTGGTTGGTTCTTAACTGCCATCTGGGCAATTTAGGGTGAACAATAAATGCTGGCCTTGCCAGTGATGCCTGCATCCATTTAATAATTAAGAAAATCTCTGCATTGATCTTCATCTTCCACCTATCTGCCCATTCCACTAACTTGTCTGTGCCCTTTTTGAAGTTCTACAATATCTGCATCATGGTTCACGATGTTTCTCAATGTTATATCATCATGCAAACTTTGCAAAAGATATACACTGAGGAAAAACAAGAGTCTCAACACTGACCCTGATGAATTATGCTACAAATATTTCTCCAGTCTGAAAAACATCTATTAACCAATACTGATAACAAAGTGTGGAGCTGGAGGAACACATCAGGCCAGGCAGCATCAGAGGAACAGTAAAGTTGATATTTCCAGCTCCACGCTTTCCTGTTCCTCTGATGCTGCCTGGCCTGCTGTGTTCCTCCAGCTTCACACTTTTTGTTATCTCTGACTCCAGCATCTGAAGTTCTTGCTATCTCAGTGATTTATTAACCAATACTCTTTGTTTTCTGTCACTCAGCCAATGTAGAATCCATTTTGCCACTGTCACTTTTATTCTATGAGTTACAACTCTATTTACAAGTATCTTATGAAGCATTGCTTCGCGTGTTTTTTTTTGGAAATCTATGTATGTCACATTGACTGCATTG